CCCAATCGGCGTCTTTTTCGTTGTTTGTACGGGGGCTTGCCAGAATATTCTCAAGAGCACATTGCTTTGCCTTTCCCATAGAAGCAAAGAATGAATGGAATGGTGGTAACCAAACATCATGTGCAGACTTTTCCAGCGTATCACTTTTGATCACGGCGTTGGGCTCGGAAGTTAATGCCATATCGACAAAACACCAACTCTGAACATGAAAAGCAAAAAACAAAGGTAAGGGCCCGAACCCGGATTTGAACCGGGGACCTCTCGCAATTGAGACTTAGGGAGCGACCCTAAGCGAGAATCATACCACTAGACCATCCGAGCCGATTGATGAATAATGAAGGTAATTCAAAATTATAAATTGCTAATATTATTTCTGATCGCGCCTACCGATGCTCTCGAGCAATGGTGCGGTGAAGTGCGTGAACTGTAAGAGAAATGCCTGCCTCCAACCGAGCCATCTACCATAATTACCCAGACGCCGACCACATGTACCCCAATGACGGGCTCCGGCAGTCCGTAAAACCAAGGACAAAGAAAAGATCAAACAAAGCGCAATGATTGACAGCCCATCGCTCGTATGGTCAAGCAGACGCTGCCCCATTGAGCCCGTCCTCGAGCTCCTGTCGACTAACTAACCTCTTAGCAGCTGGTCCAGCGAGCGAATAACCGCTTGGGGGCAGAGGCGTTGGCAATCGGCACACCGCTGGGTAAGCTAAGATATGCTTTACTGTGCTGTCCGGAAACTCCCCCCGATGGTCGACCATATGCATAGAGTAGAGGTACAAACACCACAGCACTCCTAGTGCGCCGCGGAAGATACCGATCTAGCGGAGGTGTAGGATGAGTCCGATCTCGGCATGCCGGGTTATGCGGAATTTAAAGTCTTGTGGAAATGCGAGTCGGCGCTTGAATGATCCTTCAGCCAGTGGGTACTCGTGTCCGCCAGTAGTCCTTCACCGCTTGATATGGGGGTGACATCCTATTGTGATATTGTACAATTTCCTAACCGACTTCGTATCTGTACCCACACACCCATCACCATGTCCTTGAGTAGCGGAGAAGCGAGCCGCAAAATACCCCTGCATTTCATCTTGTCCCCGAAACACTTGACCTTCAGGCAAAAGCATAGCGAACAGTCTTATCTTGATCTACAGAAACCAACACGAGGGATGTTCGTCCCCCAAACACTGCGTCTGCAGGAAATGTCACCGACAGTCCGACAATGTCGCCCCCCAGCCTTGATAGCATTCTGTAGTGACGTCATTTGTTCAGGCGACAGACATCGATATTTCGGTGAGTGGTAGGCAGTCTTCCAATTGGCCCTATGTCGGAAGCAGAGCCGATATGGAAGACATTACTTTCTGACAGCCAGAGGGTTGATCTAACAATCCATCACCGCTAGTTACGTAAGAATTGGCTGGCCCCAGTCTTCTCGTTGAGCCGGGAAATTCCAGCCCGCTTGAACTGCAGGAGGCCATAGTAACCAAATTTTTCTTCCGAAAACAGAAAAGGTCGCCCGTGCTGAGACCAGTCAATATGGATATCTACAAAGCAATACTCGTGCCTCTCAGTTCGACGATCCGGAGCAGCAGCGCGCGCGACTCAATATCTTACGGATAAAGGCGTCTTCTGGCTCCAAGATCAGCTTCTCGTTGGTCCAACCGTTCTTCCTATCCTGCCAAGCGCCCGGCCGTAGTCTCAGAGTTCTTTCGTCAAGCACTTCATCCAGTTTCTTTTTCGAAGTACCTCGAGGAGAACTTGTATTCTGCTCGGTAAAGCTTCTTTCCCTCCTTAAAGATCTCCATTCCTAGTGCCATATAACGCTCGATGTATCGATCGATTGGTTCTTGTAGTCATCCCACTAGGACGGATATTAACATATGCGAAGACGAAAGGCTAGTACTGCTCGTAGATGACCTTACTTTTGGCTCGCCCTCCAGCTGAAGCCCCGATAACCACGCCGAAGTGGCCACCAACGCTGGCGGCTTCACCGCCGGGAACGACTACATCGGGTGCAGCATACGAATACCGATCGGTTGTTGTTTACGATACGAGATGTCCCGAGATATTATTTGGAAAGTCTCGAGACTCCATGGGTGATATGGTACGATGAAGAAGGTGGATGAGATGCATGAATGGTACAGGTAAAGGTAACGGAGGAGGAGGAGGTGAAGATGTCCCGGGTTCCCGAGCAAGTCCCGAGCCCATGAGACTTGGTTGCAATGCTCACATCCCGAAATCTTTGCCAGTTCTTTTAATGGCCACAAACTCCCGGTCTGTCAGGACGAATCTCAGTCTGTCGGTGTTCATATAGTAGTGTACCTGCGACAGAACTTGTCTTTCAATCGTCGGTGAGTAGCCTCCATTCATTTCTCCAAAGAGACAAGGTGACCTTGGTCCTTCTCAAGTCTTGTCTCGTGGCCATTTGTGGCCGTCCTAGTTTTGCACATAAGACGGAACTCTCGGATAGTATATGTATTTTCAAGCTCGACTCGCTGGTCATGTGGCTGGTACCTGGGATGACGTTATGAAAAGTCTTTACTTTCTGCTGATATATTAGCTAGGGTTGATGATGGGACCGATAGTTAGACCCTTACCTTTCTTGTTCTCGCCATTCTCGACATCCCTCAGCATTTTCTTTTTCAACTTCTCTTCAAGTCGCCTAACTCTTCTCATTTCCTGGAGGCCAGCTTGATGTAATATCGCCCCTCGAGCTTCGCCCATGGGCTGCAGGGTGTCTATACCGATCCCTGAAACTCCTGAGCCGTAGGGGCAAGCCAGTCCGAGCCCATTCAAGCACAAGGAGTAAGATACGACGCTCGGCGGGAAGCAAGGTCGATCGTAAAAACCCGAGAACTAGTATTGAAATCAGAGAAGTTCTTGATGAAGAATGGGATAAACCATGCTCCTTACCTCCAATCCTCTTTTCCGGCGATCTTGTTGGTGACTGCACTCAAAAACATTTCTGCGTTCTTTTCGAGAAGGAAGGTCGCTTGGTATCCTCGGCCAACCATGGTGGGATGGAAGACATCTTTTCTCGGGACGAGATCGTACACTCTCATCTCGGTTGATTCCTTCGACAAGAACTCCATGTTTCACAGTGCACGTCGTCGCCGGCGTTTAGTGTGATTTTCGCATTGTACCATGTACCGATATCTATCCCGAGACCTTTTGAATACCATCTCGAGATATTCCGTGAATCCTCAAGCTCAAGATTGAAATGCTGAGATTCTACCTCGGTTGCATAATGAAGTATTTCCTTGTTCCCTGGGGGGTGTACTCAATGGCGAAGACTTCTCACAAGCTGCAATGATATTCTTAACGAAGCCGAGGATGTATCCGCGTTCTTCTGGGCTCCGTAAAAGTGAGTTAGGAAGAATCAGACGGTGAATCCCAAGCCTCCATGCATCTGCAATGTATAGTTTTCTTGGCACCCTCCGTGCCTAACATATCCGAGAGACAATTTCCGCAGGACGCTTTCGTCAGGTTGCCGATTTCAACAGCTTCTCAATGTCAGTAACACGGACACAGGAAAGGAAGCATCAGGACCATCACCTTAGCTGGACCAACTCAGCGAAGGTCTAGATATCCATGTACAATATTTCTGCGTTGGCATACTTGCGCCATTTCTGGTACTTCTTCGTGGCAGGAGATGTTGCGTTCATGGTCTTCATACATTATCACCGGGTCTCAAGGCACCGCCCCGTCTAATCTCAAATCCCTGGCCCGCCTCGTCCCGCAAATCTAATCGTAGACTCGTTTCGTTGATGTCGAGTCCCCGAGATCGGTAACAATTCGATGACAGGAAGGAAGGCAGCCATGTTTCGTCGACATACTAAAAATCTGCCGTGCATCTGCAAAAGGGTACAATTTTTATTTTTATTACTAGCCCCTTCGGAGGAAAAATCCCGGTTTAAATCTACTATAAAGATTAGACAAAAATCTTTAGGTGATGAGCTGACGAAATTAAAGGTCAAATTTTGTCTTCTGTACTGGCCGCGATTCATTCAGTTGTTCAGATCTGCGGCTAGGCGGTTGTGCGTTTGCTGCATATCCCGTTCTGTTTTCTTCTCTGTGAACTTCCCCGGGTTCTGTGGTCTGCTCATTAATTCCAATCTTCTGTTTAATAAACGACCCGCTCACTACCGGGTTAAGGCCGGGGAACTCACTCTGTACCTTAGATCTCGTATTGTCGGTTTTCTTGGGGCGAATGTGCATCTCTCAACCGCCTCAAGATACCATTGCGCTCTGTCGTATCCGGTACTGCCATCCGTGAGACTGCAGGGAAGTTCAGCAACAGTGTCGTTCCGATCTTCAGGGTTGTTAGTGTCGAGAACCATTTATTCAAGGTTTGTACTATACATAGGTACTTAGTAGTTTCGCCAATGAATGTTGAAACGTGAGTAACCAGGTGTTTGAAAGGATAGAAAGAATACCCCCAGAGATAGCCGCGGCGTGATGCCATCCTGCCGGAACATACAGCCCAGTTGTTTCCTCAGTGGCGCCAATCCATACTTTCTTCATTTGAAATCCAAGCAGATCAAGTGCTGTCTCTCCCTCTTTATATCGAAGAGGATTTTCTCGTTGTGGTCGTCATGTTCTTCATGGTCTTTGCTGCGGTGTGTGATGTAGACGACGAAGACGATGCGCACTCACCCCCTCACCAGCCGGCGCTTTTTGTATCGTTAAATTCCGTTTCGCTTCTGATTTTGTCGATTGTGATAGCTCTCCCGAAGTCTCACCAGGCGTCGTCGGTTCCCCAAACATGCCTCCCTGAGGAAGCTGGGTGATCGGAGTCGCACGGGAAAACTTAGAAGAGTCGGATGTGGTGGGTGTAGGTGTGGTGTTAGGGACGTCATGTCGTGCAAGACGTGTTGGCTTAGCTTAGCTCCAAACCTTAACCTTAACCTTAACCTTCATTGACAGCAGGATGACGTTTCCCTCATCCTCACATTCTTTGACCATACTCAGGCAATAGTTTCCTACCTTCAGACATCCACGGCAGGATGGCCGAGTTGGTTATGGCGCCAGGTTAAGGTCTACCTTAATACAAGAGTCAATCTCCTGGTTCGGGAAACTGAGCGTGGGTTCAAGTCCCACTCCTGTCAGTACTTTTTTTCTTTTGCGTTTTTTTGGTGGGTTGGAGGGGGGCAAGTTAGCGACGACCTTTTAACTCCCGCCCTTAACATCGTCACCATTTCAAGCAACTTTCCACCCTGGGCTGGGCGTACGTACGCACATGCCACTCCCTCTGCTATCGCCAACTAACTAAATTCTTCACTTACCGACAGCTAGCGAGTACGAGCATCTCTAACATCGCTTTTACGGTGGAGATTAGGACCCGAGATGGGCGGGGGTTTGGTGTTTCTATTACCATAACTATGGACACGGCTAAGACGGCCCGACGACCAGACGGCCACTCATACATTCCACGCTCCGCTACAAACAAGAGTCTTTATACCTCGGAGGGCATCTGGCACCGACCATGAATTTCTACACATCCAGCTTGGAGCACTCAAGTCGGACAGCATGTCGGTATCGCCCCCGCGGGCTTATATATCTCTTCTCGGTCTGCAGAAGCCAGTCTATATCTCCTCGGACTTCACCCTCTAATTACAGGCCTGCACTAGCGAAGATCAGGACACCCCCACGCCCATACAAGATCGCTTGCGGGTTATAAACCGGATGTACTTCTTCCATGACATCCTAGACGCAGGAAAGTCGCACCTCTTTTTGCCTATTGATATGATAAGGGAAGAGAGTTGCATACATGAGCGGACAGAAATGCAATTTCGATTACAACCCCACTGTCTTCGTCAAAACGGTGGTACTGGCGTCAATCTTATTGCTGCCCACCATACTGTCATTACTCAAAAGTCCTGGGGTACTGAACCAGCATTCCGCGTGTGGTAAATCCCCGATTGTTGTCAGCTATTGAGCGATCCTTGCAACAATTTACCGGAGATGAACCTCTTTGGAGGAGAAATAGAGCGAATATTGGATTTGACGAGCAGGAGAAAATGTTACGAAATCTTTTGCTCCGATGGGGCAAAACCCCCCAAAACAATACCGGTATTCATGGTCGACCAGGGCAATGCTCTGGATGAAATTGCAGACGGTTTCGATCGGTACTCGAACAAATGGAAGCGGAGAGCACGGTCGTTCCTGGATGGAATGTATTCTGGCCATATGAAATTTTGCGAGCTCGACTGCAAATTACCTTACTGCACAGCACGATGCGAGTCGTGAGACCAATGAGCGCCGTGTGACTTTGTATAATGGTCTAAATCATGTACTAAGTAAGTAATATATCACGGCTTCTGTTCAACTCATAGCTGATGACACGCATAGGATGAGATGGATATGTGGTGTCCTCGTAGGATGCTTGAACTGGCAGTGACCCTCAGAAACGATGCCGAGGGCTTCATATTCTCGGATGAAGAAAAAGGCCATCTGGTGGATTTGACAGTCGGATTGCCATGTTTCTCGAGCGCACTAACGGCTCAACGACAACGTTAATGACGGCGATATTGGCTAAAATTTGTCTTCGGTCGGATTTAGATCTGGCTGGATATGATCGCTCCATTGTTAGATACGATCGCCTTCTCCTGCTAGTATACATTCTTCGCTTCAAGACGGGGGTGTTGTGCGTTTTTTTCCTATCTCAATGATGTCCTTGTTCTGAGGTAAGTCCGTAAATCTCACCCAATTTGATTTTCAGATGCTAACCTTTGAGTTATAGGCTTTTCGAATCTCTGGGGCATAAACTGCAATACCTTTATGGTCAATGCTAATGGATTCTACCGAACCCTCTTGAGGCACTGAAAGGTCGTGCTCGACCACGTTTCCTTGAACCTCAAGAGAAAGGATTTCATGACTAGTGTTCGGCATGTGACGAGGCGCGATTCCCCCGCCACGGATTAAATCTTACGGTCCCGGAATCTTGGATCTTGGTCCGTGTCCAGAAACGGACTGACTTCATCCGTGCCGTTACGAACAAGTGGGACCGGGAGAAAGGAGGAGGTAAGTGGGGCGATGATTCATCGCGTCAGTCTGGACAATGTCAGGAATGATGGCACGAAGGCTAGGAGGAGGTTAGTAAAGCAAGGCCGGATGCTGTCTTCCAACAATTGGCTTATGATTATGTGGAACTGACTTGGGTAGTTGTCACGCAAGAGATACTCTGGCTCCGCGGAGGACGACAAAGATGACTTTGAGAGAGAATCTCCTCCGAGGCCCAAAAAAGTCATTTGCTCAGATCTCCCGCACGAAGAGGAGGTATTTACTCGGAGATGACAAATTCAGCTGCAAAGGAATTTTGGAATGGTATCGGTACCAGTCATTCTCTACCTGGCACTTTTACATCCGGGACATCCAACTTGATTGAGGGAGGAGCTACACGCACTGTCAGTTCACAAAAGTCTACCGAAAGGCTGTTGTTCATATACTGTCGATCGTGTCTAGTCTCTTCGCCAACTCATTTTTCAGTTCCGAGTCTTTGCAGCACCAGAGGAAATGGGGGTGCGGTGTAAAGGTACTATGGTGATACGACCTCGGCCAGTAGTTATGACAAAACCGGTCATGAGCCGTCACCCACAAAGTCCCGGGATATCTCGTCCAGCAGCTTGAGCTATCTCGTCTCTACCAACCAACCTCGTCTCCACCAACCAACCTCGGGAGGAGCAGCCAAATACGAACACAGATATTGCTCGCGGAGCGGGGCGTTGGCCAGGATATCAACGCTGTGGAAGTCGTAAAGTTGATCGACCAAACATACAAGCTTGCCGACGCACACAGGAAAGGCTTTAGATAATACTGGCGGCGAGATACAGTGGGTACAAAAACAAACTAGGAGTATTATAACTAGCTGACTGACCGCCTTACAGATTCCGGGAGACGTAGATGGTAAACGTTCTGTGGACTGGAGGTCTTTTTATGTCGACACCAATGGCATCTTGTGGCTTTACAAGACTGGTTGCAACAGGATAGCTTCGATCGTTGGTTGTACACCGAACTGGAAAAACAAGGCGGCCGTGTTTGGGGTCTTTGTGGAACAGATCCTCCTAAGCATTATTGCACGCGATACGATGGAACAGTCGGGGATGAGAAGGTCTTCCCCGCAAACAAGAATCAAAAAACCGCATCCTCAGCAAGATTCCTTGTACCGTCGGCGTATAACTTCCGTGCCGTTGATGGTATTCTGGTATGTCGCTGTGCAAAGAGGGTAGTGGTTGGCATCCAAATCACTATAGTCTATTGCCACGAATCACAACGATTCGGAGTCAAGCAATTGGAGGTTTACCAGGATTGTAAGGAAGTCGAGTACCGCTTTCTTTGGATACTCGAGGATGTCTCTTCTAAGGGCAGGCGTGAAGTCATAGTCCCAGAAGCAACCAACTGGGCGGACACCTGGGCCTCCGTCAAGGAAGTGAACGCGGAAATGGGTAGGAAATTGGAGCTTGGCTAACTAATAGATGGAGGGAAAAAGGACGATGATGAATGAGGTCTTGGAGGGGGAGAAACATATTGTTCTTGCTCAGGCGGGTCCTTATACAGTAGCTAGTCAGAAAATAGATAGCGGGCTTTGATACAACTGGGAAAAAAAAGCAAAAGTTAAGGGCCCGAACCCGGATTTGAACCGGGGACCTCTCGCAATTGAGACTTAGGGAGCGACCCTAAGCGAGAATCATACCACTAGACCATCCGAGCTTATTGATGTACTAAGTAATTTAAATGCAATTATGAGTACTACAAAAGCGTTTTGTGCGGAGGTTTACAACCGCCAGCATTCGAAATGAGCACCTGGAGGCAGGAGAGAGCTAAGAGAGAGCGAGAAACTCGTGGTTATGATGGACTCAACAATACCGACTATAATTCTCAAAAGGCTTCAACCGAAGTACTATGCAATCAATCAAAAGTCTTGAGGATTTCAACCGTGATGTACCTACCTGTATTCGATGATAACAGCCTACTACCTTACATCAAGAAGTGGGTAAAGTATGTTAGTTGTTAAGTAGGGCGAGAGGATCACAGGGGGGGGGGGCTTGAAATACGGACTATTTCGCAAAACCTTTGTTTCTTACAGCAAAGCGGATAAATAAAAACAATTATTAAGCATGAGGTACGTCAGTACTCTCTGTGGTTGTTCATCGCGCGCAGCTTTGCATGAAACCGTTTGACTTTTCGAGGTGTGCTTTCGAAAGCTCGCGGTAATTCTAGCTTTCGGCGCGGGAGGCTTTCGTCAAACATCACCGTGTCAGACGCCCCTATCGTAGTGTTTGTGAACCTGGCGTCCATTTTCGAGTCCAACTTGTCTAGTTTATCTTTCAGTTCCTTTTGGTCGTATGAATTTGCCTGTTACCTTCTTTGGATGTTAGTAGTTTAAAGGGTTAAAGGGTTAAAGGAGAACTTGTTATAGTACCAGAACCGATCGTCCATTCCAACGATATCATACACGTTTTGGAATTACTCTCGACATCTCTCTCGACAGCGATTTGTCGACTCAGGAACTTCGCTACTAAACCGTCGTAAGTGACAGGGAGGTCCAACCACAATCTTTGTCCCGTTAATATCGTGATAAGGATATAGACGTATTGAAGAAAGGGCAGCGTTGTCAGACCATCGATTACGAATCGTGCTGGACGGCCTGCAAACATTTTAGTTATTATCGTGAGACTTCGTGATTGGCGGACAGACCAAAAACGGCCGGTGTGGCTTTCATATATCACATCTGGCTGATCTATTACCGATCTGACCGGACTGTAGATGAGAGACGAGAGGAAGGGTGGTGATATATGGTGTTGTGGGCGAAGGGAGGGAGAGTGTGCATGTTCGGAGATGAGACTGCTGTAAAAAGTATTTGGAGACTGAGTGAGGAAACTTGGAACTTAGAGTTTTTTTATTGTTTGGGTTTTGTTATATGATTTATGCGGGTGGCACTGGGCGGGTGTGTTAAAGCTCACTTAGGACCATTTGATCTTGTCCTTCTATTCAATCAAGCGAGGTGTATGTGACCCTTTGGTTCGCTAGTTCACATCAAAAACAGTTGCGACTATACTAGTGAGGTTCTACACAACAAGAACAGTGAAAATCGCTGCGCACCTTAAAT